AAAACCTTGTGAAGGGATTTATGAAATCACGACCAATTAGTGTCCACGGGCTTGGCACATTTAACAGAGCGTATCCATAGCGGCTAAATTTCAACTTCCATTTTCCTTTCATCTCTAGAAGTTCCATAAACCTCTTGACTTTGCAAACAAAGTTACTCCTTTGAGGAAGAGAGACACTGCATTCCAGAAGCAATCCGAGCCTTAAAAAGCAAAGATTATTTGCGTGACTATAAACTTTACAGTATTGCTAAAGCTTATACAATTATTCTAAGTTGTATTCGAAAATCAAATTACATCGATAACAATTCGTCTTGAAAATTGAAGCAAGATGTAATAAATCTTAATTCTAAATTACGAACATAATTAGAAATATTCATTAATTCTGTGGTGTGTTGATTGACAGGTAACTGCCTAATATTTGGAATCAAAGTCTGTATTTAATTGTAAAAAGTATACCTTATTAATGAGTATTTGGAACAGTGGAAAAGAAAATGGATTTCGTCTTCGATCTAATTAATTAGATCCACAGACTTGGCAGAGTCAATAATCTGTAGAGATTTGGTTGTAACTGCCAAGTTCAATCATAAGTTTTTGATTGCTTCTGCGTGGTTCAGTTAAGACCCTTCTTTCAGATGTTCTTGTAGTTAGGTCTAGATAATATAATGTTATCTATATAAAATCAAAATTCAGTGCGTTTTCTTGCGCGTTTTTTAAATAACACAATCTTGTTTTGGTTTTTTTTTGGGAGGGGGGATTTATACTTAATATCTACGAGCTGCAGTAGGAAGATAGTGTTAAGACAATTTTGTAGTCCTGTTTTAGATCGCGATAATATGATCAAATCATCTGCAATGTAGAAGGGAATTTAATTTTTCGCCGTTTAATAGAACAAAAGGGTCAGATAAAGTATGTTGAAAGGAGAATGGTAGATTAATGATACAAAGATTAAAGAGCAATGGACTTAAAATACAATCATGGCGTACACCTCTTGCTTACTGAAAGGATCTTGTTTTCTTTTGACCAGTTTTGATTGAACATGAAGATTTGAAATAAAGGCTTTTAATCAAACTATAAAAGCAGCCTCACAGATTGATCGTGCCAGACTGAGTCAAAAGCCTTCCTGAAATAACAAAACAAGCACAGACTTTTTCATTGTGATTATGATCGCGTTTGTCTATCAAAGTTCGTTGTGTAAAAATATGGTCTGCTGTACAATTTTAATGGTAGAAAGCTAATCTGAGATTTGAGAAGTATATTACGAGAAACGACACGCTCTAGAAGTCTTTGGTATAAGATGGAGCAAAAAAGTTTTCCCAGGCAGCTTGAAACACAGATACCACGGTAATTGGACGGGTTACTTCTTCCACGTACCTGATTTATAAATCGGTGAAATGAGACCACCACACCAGGCCTGAGGCATGGTGCCCGAATAAATAATTGCATTAACAAGTTTGTATTATACGGGCAACATATCATTAAGACTGTCGTTAATCATTTTATTTTTAATTTTATCTAAAAAGGGAGATTTTATATTCTTCAATTTTTTAACAGCTGTGCGTATTTCATTTTCGGTAATCAAGTAATCTAAACGACGAGACTGCTTTTTTACGATCTTCTTGTTCCCGTAATTCATCACAAATGAACTGTTGAGCGGGATTAGGCGGTGCATTGGAATGAACAGACTGGAAATACGACAGCCGATTTTCTTCCGAGACTGAAGGAGCATGTTTTGCTTTCATGGTGTCATCCATTGACTCAAGACATTTCCAAAATTTTGTCATATCTGTATTTTTTGCAGAATCTTCCAACTGAAGAATTTTGGCATTGTACTACTCGTTCTTTTTAGAGTGGAGCAATGTTTTGTATTGTGTTAGAACGGCGTGGTACTCCTCACGTAAAATGAGATCCAAGGGATCTCTGTGTTTTTGGTTCTTAGTTCGTGTCTTCCAAAGCTACATTCCCTAGCAAACCATTTTTTATTTGAAGATGACTCGAAACGCTTTTGTTTTAAGTCAATTTAATTTTTGAACATTGTTTAGCTGTTGTGATGAGAATATTTTCTACTTTTTCAAGCGAAGTGTTCACGTCGTGAATTTGTGTTCTGTCGCTTATGTACTCCCGTATTAGAGTTTGGAGGACTGGAGAACGTCTGCAATCTTTGAATTTTTGTGTGGAATCATTTTCCTAAACAAATGCTTTGATTATCGCATAATTACACGAACAAAGTCCGTGCCATATGCGCCTTCTAAACAAAATGGGCATGCCTTTGTAACGAAAATCATGACATGCCCATAGTAAAATTAGACGTATTAACTAATTCTTTCTTTAATATGTTCATTTAACAGTGATGTATGGAATATGGTTATAACTTATGAGTCTAACGCTAAAATTTTTCGTTTGCTTATTTTGTTTTTGTTTATTTTTCTTCCGCTATGTTTGGTTTTGCGCCCACTTTTGTTTGTGATGATTAAAATATATTTATATTTTCTTCTCTAGTATACGCTGGTTGTTTATGTTTATACGTGTTGTGCCGATTTGTAATTGAGAATTATATGTATTTAAAAACTTGTTTTCAGTCATACTAAATTCACGTCGTCCATCGCCAGGCTTGATGTGTTACTTACAATTTAGCCATTTTTTGAATCCCTTCCAAGTCTTTAACTGATATGTCCATCTTCGTTACCATCTTGGCCGCGCGACGCGTATCGTTCTGGCCAGACGACAAACTAGGAAAAAAATTTATGAAAAATATCTTGTATTATACTGTTTTTTATAAGAACCTTTTTTTATTAGAACGGAGAGGCTGAGATTCACCAAAATTTTAAGAACGTATTGAGAATATTCCTCAGGCTGAGGGTCGATTAAGAACGATATTTTGCTCATCTGTATATTAAATGACAAGCATAAAATAAAGGTGACAAAAAAAAAGGAAGCTCACCGAAATACTTAAGGGCACGTTTTGTATAACATTAACAGTGGTTTTCTTACTTCATGACGCACATCTCTCGGTTTTTAATAATCAGCAGTTCTTATTTATAACTGTTCCAAAACAACTTAAATCCACACCATTAAAGTCATCAAGATTGTTGTATACATATAGTATACGCTGGTTGTTTATGTTAATACGTGTTGTGCCGATTTGTAATTGA